TAACATTAAGAATAATGCTATTCGCAGTAAAAACTACCAGCAGTCGCCCTATGTGGCGTACACTTAGAAGTTTTTCATTTGATGCATAATTCAAAAAATAACTACCATATCTATGTATCAAATAGCAAATTGTCAAGTTAAGACGACTACTAGCAGCCTTCATTACGAATAGCATTACTCTAACATTAAAGTTATCATTAACATTTTTATTTGCTATTTATAATTGTGCCGGCATTTTTCTCTCTCTTAAACCTAAACTGCCAACTAGGATATCTTATAATAATAAATCCTTTTTCTTGATAATTCTCTCTCAACAGTACAAACCACGCACCGACTAAAATGTTTTGCAACGACAAAAATTGTTTACTATTCTTAAAAAATCTAGATTTGGACACAAATTATTTTGTCTCTCTACTATATTCGTCACAAAAAAGATAGTTATCAAAAGAGGAACGAAAGTTTGGGCTTTATTGATTGACAAGACTCACCACTGAATATGTCCCAAACTTGTGTGTTCATAAATATATCCATAATAAATTTGCATAAAAAGCATTAATAAGAAAATCATTGGATCAATTATTTGAAATGTATGATGTTGATTATTTAGCAAGAACCGAGCTGCAAGTACAGAAAGAAAACCTACAGATATTTTACGTACTACTCACAGTGGTAGGGTTGGCATTTTTTTGGCCATTTTATGATACATCGAGGCCCACGTGAGCCCGACCTCCATGAGACTCGTCTGTAGGAACTCTGTTAGTTTTTTTTCTGTACATCCTGTTTAATTCATTTAGCAAATATAGATGGCCATTATTTCGTACATTTTAAACGTACTAGTTTTAGGGGCTTACTTCTAATGTCAAAATGAAATAAGTCCAACTAAAAATCTCGGTAGGACGTACCATATTATAATTTTTTTTCTAGTATTAAAAAAGAGGGTGGTGCATTTACCAAAAAGGAAGTCAATAATAAGCACGAGAAAAAGGAGGTACCTATCGTTGCTTTTGTTTTCTTTAGTAAAATATTTGAATCTTTTGATAATTTTTGAGTCAAAAAGTAATGAATGAAGGAGCGGGCGATATTGCGAGATTTGCTGTTGGAATGGAAGCTCAAGGAAGTCTCTTTCGGAGATTTGTTAGGTTGTCCCCTTACTCATTTTCTTGGTTGAAAGTGACTCCCAAACTCCATTTCTTTTAAGTAACATTAATTGCGGATTAATTAGTGCAAAACAAAAGTGTAAAATATGACAAGGTGGCTTGAGAGAAACATATATAGACGTGCTAAAACATTAATGCAGCCACGCAGAAGGAAAATGCTATATGTACCCTTCATAGTATCTACAATGGGTTATACTAGCCCCCAGGGCACATCTCCAAGTGGTAAAAGGGGAGGGTGGAGAAATCCAACTTTGCTTGAGACTGCTGCGTCAAGGGTTCGAATCCTGAAATATGGATTTGACTCTTGAGTAAGTGCACGTGTACAAGCAACCTTCCACCCTTTACCCTTGGAGGCATAACCTGCAATTTACCTCCCTCACGATGTTTCAGGGTAGGGGCGGTGGGGGACCCTTAAGGTTGGGGTTCAACCTTTTTACAATGGGTTATACTCCCTCAATGAGGGGGGTCCACAAATATTTTATTATATGTAGGTCCTCTCCATATGATGTGGTGTAAGGAATATATTGTGTACACAAAGGATTACCCCTCGTAGAAAGGGGACCGACACGAATGCAAAGAAAGCACGCAAGTACATAACCTTCAATTAGTAAAGAGCTTTTAATCATTTCATGTTATTATTTTCTAATAGTTTTGATGAGACGTGCCAATTTAATTTATATAGTAAAATTTCTATATAGTTATATTTTGTATATGAATAACCTCTGTACAATCATAAAAATGGTCCCAACATGGACAAAATATAAATAAGAATATACTCCGATGACTTTTTCAGGGTCCATCTTCAGTAAATTTGCCTTCATACAGTAATAAATACGATCCTGTTTGGAATACCTAAAGCCTAAAAATGAATTTTTTTTTATAGATTTTGATAAAACTGATAATATATCTTATTGAAAAGTTGTGAATATCATGAAATGTGTTATTAAAATTAATTGTCGAATTTGATTTAAAATTTAATCTACATTAAACATGTGTATGTTTCAATATATATTACGTTTTAGCAGGTAGTTTTTAGCAAGTGTTCATGTTCCAAACTGCATATAAGGGCTTTTTATTTTTATTTTTTGCAAATCTAGTTGAATAAATGTTGTTAAGCTACATAAAAATGACCATATTTGTAAAAGTTTTTGAAATTTTAACAAAAGAATATTTTGATCTATTTACATGAAAACGACTCTATTTGCAAAAGTTTTTAAAAATGGCCGTTTTTTCAATTCTCAATACCATTTTTGACTTCATATCCAATTTTCCAAATGTATTTATGCCCTCAGCCGACAACTTTGATTCCTTTGTTTATATACGTGGAGCTCAATTTTACCCTAAAACTATCAAAGTGAAATTTCATAATCATTAAGATTGCAATGATCATACTTCTCAAGTTAGCTTGATAGCATGGTTAACATCAATTTATAATTCCTTTTTACCCCTCGTCCTGTTACACATTTCTTTTCTATATTTTCAAATTTAAAATATTAATATTTAATGCAAATTGGGAAGTTTGAATCTAATTCTTATAAATTAATATACATTTTTCCAGTACACATGTTTGCAATAACTTTATTTTTGTTTAATCTTATTTTTAAGTAAAAACATGCATATTCTGAATATAATATTTTACCATAATATCAAAAAAGTAATCTATTCAAGTTTCACTAGTAAAAATAAAATAAAATAAATTAAAAAAAAGAAAAAAGAAATATATATATGAGCTCGAAGCTTCCTTCATAACTCCGGGAACTTCTTCGTAGTGGCTTCCTTCCGGGTAGTGATTTGTATATAACTTTGAATAACTTTTCTTCACTATTTTTTTTATTTCCCCCCTTTTAATTACAAGAAATCAGGAATTGAATTCATTATAGGATCTATTTAGTTTTTTCCTTTCCATTCACTCGGATTTCTTCTGTTTCATCGATTTTGTTCGGATCCTCCTATTCAGTTCCTTCGGAATCGCTAGTCAATCCTATTTCCAATAGTGGCAGTTGACAATTTAATCCGATTTTTACTAACGAATCTTGTATGTGTTCTTAAGAAAAGAAATTTGTCCATTTTTCGGGGTCTCAAAGTACATAGTGTTTTGATCTAAGATTTCAATTCTTCCGTGTTTCAACATTAAAATATTGTTCCATGGAGCTAAGGTCCAAAATATGGAAGAAAGAAGCGTTTCCACGACTCTACCATCCAGTCAATTCTGTTATACTTAATCCCTCTTTCTCTTTCATGGCCACATATCTTTTCGGCTAAAGAATGGGAAATCTTTGTCCTATTACATGAATTCAATATATGTGTGTGTGTGTGTGTTTTTTTTTTTTTTTTTTTGGGGGCTGT